ACCTCCGAGCACAGAGTTAGAAATAATCTGTGAGCGTAGCTGGTGTGGTCCTCAAACTAAGTAGATAACTAAATAATGAAACAATAGAGTTTCAAAATAAAGGATTCTCCAGAAGTTGGGTTGTCATTATGGATCATCATGAGGACTAGAAAATTCACAGGACTTGAATGATACGCTTAGACATATATTTTGCTCAAGAAATCCTTGTACAATTCCTGTTGTAGATAACTCCATTACTCCTTCCAGAATTCTGTTCTCATTATAGGCAGGGCCATTTTCAGAGCAGAGAAAAAATGGAGTCCAAGAAGTTAAAGGCACTAATTTCCCCTACATTCAGAGAAACATGATCTGTTTAAGCAGTCACCTTGCTTTTGAGCATTTGTGGGGATTCAAACCTCTTTCCATCTGCAGCCACCTTTTGATCATGTGGGGGGCTGTTGACTCAGTGTGGGCTTTGTTTTTCTTCCTCTTCCTGCCCACTGCCTCCTTCTCAATCATCCACTGCCCATTAGCACACCTCCCCCAGGAGGACCAGGAAAGAAGACATTGATTAACTCAAATAAGTCAATATAACCCCATTTTAATAACTTCAGCAGGTGCAAGAGCAAGACAAATAAAATGTGGTTTGTGAGCACTTTGTGAACTTCATTCATTCCCACTCACCCTTTCCCTTTCTAAACAACCACAAAGAATAACTACAAGTGGATTCTATTGACGCCCTCCTCCCATAAATTTAACTGGTTGGGCAAAGAACCACAAAGTATAAAGGTTGGGTTTTGTCTCCCTCTTACAAATAATGAAATGCTACTCATCTACTGAGAGGTGCTCTTTGGACCTCAAGGACATCAGGCAAGGGAAGAGGAGCTACCCAGGGTCTGAATGCCCTTGGACAGTTGTCTTTGCTGCAAGAGGTTAAAGCCTAACAGAGCTTGGAGTTTCTTTTTCCTTTTTTGGTTTGTGAGCCATTCCAGGCTGTGCTCATGGCTTGCTTGTGTCAATGCATTCAGGAATCGCTCCTGCAATGCTTGGGGAGCCATCTAAGGTACTGGGGATGTAGACTGGTGTAAGGCATGCACCCTACCCACTTTACTATCTCTTTGGCCCCAGCTAGGTATTCTCCACCTGAATTACATTCAGTAAGCATAATTCCAAAATGCATTCATTCCCCTGAACACAAGCTGCCTCAACATCTGTGAGGAGACAAAGGCAAACATGGAGAAGAAGCCCAGAGATGAATATTTCAGCAGGAACGTGGGAAGGAGTACACTGCAACTTGCAAACAGCCTCTGTACCGCATGCCATAAATTAACACAATATAAATTTATACATATTTACACCACATCGTCTCTAACTATATAAATCCTCAATACTCAGACTGTGGGGTAGGTGTAAGAGAACAGACCATATGTTTATTCATGTTCAATGGAGCTCTAGGGAACTCAGTGTTTTTACACATGCGTGCACGTACACTCCCATCCATACACACATGTATTCACACACACATATACACACACACTGTACACACATATATAACTAAAAATTATTCTAAATGCTTAAATCAAATTAGTGCCTAAGGGAAAAAACTCTATTTTTTTTTTCATTTTTAAAAATTTTTTTATTAGTGAAACACCATGAGGTACAGTTATAGACTTACAAATTTTTGTGCTTGGGTTTCAGTTATACAATGATCAAGTACCCATACCTCCACCAGTGCTCATCCTCCACCACCACGGGTCCCAGCATTACCCCCACCCCCCACCCCCTCATCCCACCCTGCCTCTGTGGCAGGGCATTCCCCCTTGTTCTCTCTCTCTTCTTTTGGGTACTGTGTTTTGTAAGAGAGGCATTGAGTGGCAATCATGTTTGGTCTATAGTCTACTTTCAGCATGCTTCTCCCACCCTGGGAGGGTCCTCACAATACCCTTTATTTGATGTTCCTTCTCTATCTGAGCTTCCTTTTTACCTAGCAAGTGTGGCTGGCCTTCAAGTCATGGAGCAAAATTCCTGGTACTAATCTCAGCCATTCCTGGTTGTTAGTCTCCCTTTTTGTTGCTGAAAAAACTCTATTTTAAAGAAGGTTGCCATTTTCAAAGATATTTAGAACCAAATAGAATTTTAATTATTTAACTGAGCATTTACCTGGTTACTCATATATTTTTAAAACTTACATAACTAGTTATTATGTATAAAGATTGTGTGGAATAAATATTTTACTGATGGAGATGACTATCAAGATGACGTTTCCCTAAATTCTTCCATTGTACAATAAAAAGGGAAGCTTTAAATAGAAGATTTTGTAATTTCTAGTTGGAAGCTCCTTAGTTGATGGTCAACATCGTAATATTTGGGAGAGCAGTATATTGAGAGAAATCACTGTTCCAAGTCCAAATAACTGTGTTTTGGTCCTGGCCCTGTCATTCACTGGCTTATTCTCCCTGGACAAGTCCTTAACCTCTTTGAGACCCATACTCTTGGGAAGATAGTATCTTCCCCAAATGCCAAGAATCCATGGCATAGAATCAACGTGAAAGTCTTTGGAAACTGTCATGGTTTTGCATGTACTGTCAAGTCATTGTTATGGATTCTTTCAAAATTTGCTGCTAAGCAAACAAAATGCATTCAGTTTCTTTTACAGCTTTCCTGGAAGAAATCTACACTTGAGTTGCTGTTGACACTCTTTGTTTCAAAAGAATGCCATCCACAATGGTCAGAGAAGCATAGCACAGTGCCAACTGCCAATTTGCTTTGGCACACGCATGTGTGTGGGCAGGGATTGTCGATGTGTCTTGGACATTGCCCAATACCCAATGGGCATTTATTAAATATGGAATAACAGTAAGTATTTCAGGGGGAAATGGCTGTCTGACATAATCAAGACAGCAATTTCCCCACATGCCACTCCTTAAAGGTGTAGCAGATCTCAAGTGAACAGAACCTTTATGTCCTGGCAGACACCAAAGAATCAAACTAAAATAGAATTACATTCCTCACAGCCAAAGCACTAACTGCCACACAATAAGGAGCAGAGGCTTCATCATTGGTTTTTCTCTATGCTGACAGTGAATAGAATCCTTTTCAGATAATACCTTGTCTCTATTTCAGATGACGACTTGTTTCCCTCCTTTGTGTATGAGACTCTGCTAGTTATATTGAGGGCTAGAAAGGAGAAAATCTTTCTCTTGATACATGCCCACATTTTTACAAGCAGGGAACAGGATAATACATCCCAGAGATGTCCTTAGACTCCAAGTAATGAACAAGACATAAATTGAAGGACAGAAAGTCCATACTGACACCCCTGTCACAGCACTGTCACTATTGCCTAGCAGTGACTAAAGAGCAGAGACATCCAGTCCCAAGCTCAGTAACATCATCAGTAGCCTCCTGAGAGACAGAGTTTGATATGTCTAAGAACAAGAGCAGTGCCTAAAGTGTACATAGAAACATCACCTTGAAGGAAAGAGGCACCCAACTTGACCTAAAAAAATATGGAGGAAGGGTCAATTATAAAATAGCAAAAATACTCTTATGTTTTGGGTCATTTTTTTTGGCTTTTTGGGTTACATCTGGCAATGTTCAGGGGTTTGTCCAGGCTCTGCAGTCAGGAATTACTCCTGATGGTGCTCAGGCGACCATAAGGGATGCAGGGGATTGAATCTGGGTCAGCTGCGTACAAGGTAAATGCCCTACCCACTGTACCATCACTCCAGCCCTTGAGTTCTTTGTCTCGTGTCATTTTCCCCTTTTATTTCACCAGCAGCCTGCATAGAAATCTAACGATTCCTTTTCCAGAAAAAACGCACATGACAAAGAATTGGGAACTCAATTGTAGAAGGCAGATTGCCATTTCAACTCAGTTTCAGAGCTGTGTTCTGAAGAATCAACAGAAACACAACTAAGAATGTGACTTTTCAGGGTTATGAAATGCTGAAAGTGTGATATTCATTTTCTCTTGCCACTATAACAAACTATAGGCATAGCAAACATGGAACAATTGAACAGCACTAAATGACTACCATGCAGTTTGGGCAATTAGAACTTAAGATGGTTCAGCAGGCTGTTCTTTCTGGAGTGTGTAGGGGCTCAATCCTCCTCCGGGTTGGTTTTATTTTAGGTTTTGTATACTGCTTACATACTAATTCATACCCCATTTCACTCAAACTTCTGTTTTCACCATTACGTTTCCTGCTCTGATTCTGATTCCTTCTATTCTGTCCTTTAAGATCAAATGCTGAGATCACAGTGAGCCTACCTGGATAATGTATCCAACAGTTTCCTCTTTTCAAGATTCTTAACTAAATAACATTTGAAATGTCCCTTTGCCATGTCAAAAAACACAGTCACAGGGTTCAGGGCATTATGAAGGGGATTTCTTTGGAGTTCATAATTTGGGTGTCACGGGGCTGCAAGTGCTTTCTATTGCACAGAACCATTGAGGGGGGAGAGGCTTAAGGCAGAAGAAAGTGGCCCTTGAACTATCTTCTCTGTCATGCTTCTGTCCTCAGGAAATTTGCTGAATGAGGAATGCCTCCACGTAGGAGGAGAAAATTTTGTATTTCAGTGCTTGAGAAAGTGAGTTTCTCTTTCAAATGATAAGGGAGGTGGGGATATCGCTTAGAGGCCAGAGAGATAGAACAGTGGGTGAGGTACTTGCTTTGCCAGCAACTAAGCCCAATTTGATCCTCAGCTTTGCATATGGTCCCCTGAGTGCCTCCAGGAATAATATCCAAGCACAGAGCCAGGAGGAAGCCCAGAGCACCACCGCGTGTAGCCTAAACCCCAAACCAAACCAAAACAATACCATCTCTTAGTCTTATTATCTCCTGAATGGAACCATGCAACTAGATAAATAATTTTTTTAAAAAAGCTTATGGAACCCACCCAAAAGGAAAAGAGAAATGGGAGGTGGTGAAGCAGATTAAGATGCTCTAAATTTATATCCCTCTACTCAATTTTCTTGGTTTTTGAAAGTTTTTTTTCTTTAAAATTCTAAGTTTCTTTGGGAGGGTAAAGTAGTGGTCTAATTGTCACAGTACTCCCTAGAACAAACCTGCCTTTTGATGCCTGGGAAGAACTGAGTAAAATCATAATGAGAAGACACAGGACAGCCAGTTTTATATAAGACTATTCAGATATATCTGAATTATTTCCCTCTTTCATTTGTATTTATCATTTTTCCCTTTAGAAATTAAAAAAATAACCTAACTTTCCTAGATGATCTCCTCAGCTAACTACTTTATTTTGTCTAGGTGGACAGAAGAAGATCTACATTAGGATCTGAATAAGGAACAAATATGGGTAATAATATGTCATGGGTATAACAGGTTCGGATTTTAAGATTACCTGGGGAAACTTTTGCAGTTCGCATGTAACAGTAAGAGTGCTATTCATAGCAAAATTCACACTTGGTATGCTCAGTTTCAATATGAACTCATTATTTGAGGAAAAAGAAATTAAATCAGCATTTGGGTGCTTGTTTACTTTTCTGATCTACACCAGACTGGTGTGTCTGGATCCTATGATCAAGATAGAATGTCATTATCCTGGTTTTTGTCTGTGACCTGTCAGAACGGACGATCGGGCTTGAAATGAAAAGCAGCGCATATGCTCCCGAAACGCTTAATTGTAGCAACAGAGAAACATTAAATAAACTTCACATTGGAAATGCTGGCAGTTCTCTTCTTAAGCCCTTCAGTGTTAAAAACTGGGCAAAAAATAGATGGCCGAGCCACGGCTGTTGTTTCCCTGATGTTCTCAGAAGTTAGTTCCCAGTTCTTGGCTGAGCTTTATGACTGCGTGTGAACTAGGCCGGGGAGCAGATGACTGCCACACAAGCTCCTACAATGAAAATCTACTGGAACGCTGCATCTTTCTAGAGCATTACACTAGAATACTGTTGAACTGGTTATTTTGCTTTAAAATGAAAAAAAAAAACCTTGTTTTTGTTTTTTGAGATGGGAGCAGGGATGGGACCTTCTCTTATCCCCAGAAAACCCTCCCAGGTCCTCAGCGAGCACTCTCTCAGTGAGCACTCCAGCATTATTCCTTCCTACCAAAGGCCAAGGGTAGTGTTTTTAAGGACCTTAAGGTCTTGGTTGGAGGTTCTAGCAGGGGAGGACAGCTACCCTAGGCTGAAGAACAGTCACTCTACTGGAGAAGGCCATCCTCTTCTTCCTCTTTGACAAAGTGCCCAGCTCCTTTAGGGAATGCCAAGAGCTGTGAGTGAGGAAGGGAACTCTTGCCTAGCCAATCAGATCAGCTGAATCAACTATGGTGGTCAATGCAGTGACAGACATCACAACCAGATGGCCCTCAAATCCATAAACTTGATTTTATTTTTTATTTTTAGTTTAGGGTACTCTAAACAAAACTCTGTAGTACAAGATAATGGAAACTGTGTGAATAGAACGGTGGTAGGGGAGCATGCTATTTAGAAATTATTGAGATTTTCATTGACTGAGCCACATAATATAATGTCACTCTATCAATTGTCATTTTATTGTGATTTCTTCGAAGCTTGGGGCAAATATTACTTTAAAACAAAATTCCAAGAAGTCAGATTGAGAAACAAAACTTTCATGTGTTTCCCACAAATCTTCGTCTACGCTCTGCTTTTTAACTGCTTTGAAGAAATGTGCAGTTAAATGTAGTTTGAGAAGATGTAAACTGAGAAGAAACAAAAGTGTGTGTGATTATCCTTGATTTCATTTTTGATAACCAAGAAGTCTTGAAAGGGATCCTTTAAAAAAAAAGAAATATAAAATGTTTAGCTATCCCAACAACATAATGATCCAAGTGATTCATACGTATACTACGTAAATATGTAATCAAGATGCTACTTTTAGTACTATGATAACCAAAAGAGATAGTGTCATGAAATTCTAGATATGCCAAGAATGTTAATCTTGACATATCTAAATATATAAAGAATCCTTGGTTTAACCATGTTCATTCTTGTACTAGTCATGATTCTTTGAAGAAATAGATCCAATAGGAGACAGATAGATGAGAGAGAGAAGGAGAGAAGAATAACAAGAAAGGGGAGGAGCGGAGGAGGAGGGTGGAAAAGGAGGAGGAGGAGAAGAAAGAGGAAAAGAAGAAGAGGCAAGGGAGGAGAGGAAGAAGAAGAAGAAGAAGAAGAAGAAGAAGAAGAAGAAGAAGAAGAAGAAGAAGAAGAAGAAGAAGAAGAAGAAGAAGAAGAAGAAGAGGAGGAGGAGGAGGAGGAGGAGGAGGAGGAGGAGGAGGAGGAGGAAGAGGAGGAGGAGGAAGAGGAGGAGGAGGAAGAGGAGGAGGAGGAAGAGGAGGAAGAAGAGGAAGAGGAGGAAGAAGAAGATAGATTGTAAAGAAAAGTGACTAACAAGATCATGGAAGCTGACAAGACCCCAAGATTACTCACCCACTCACTCATCTATTAACTCATCAATCTATTCATTTGCTTTCTCCATGTTGTAAGTGCCTATGTGACAAACTCTGAGATAGGAGTTAGGGACCCAAAACAAATCAGATGGGCACCATTTCCAACATGTCAGCACAGAAATATCTGAACTTGCTCACCAGATAACAGATAAAAATAATTTTATAAAACAAAACAGCCATTTAAAAATCTTGAACATTATGTAAGGTAATGCAAATCAAGAAACATTTTTTAAAAGTCTACTAAACTCGTAATAGTGTGTATGATACCACATCATATGTTCTCTCTTTCTCTCCTTCTCTCTCTCCCTCCTCTCTTCTCTTCCCTCCCTCTTCCTCCAAGTTCAGTGAGATATAAACTGTGCTCCAAACTAATGAACTAATGGACTGAGAACACAGGGTCACTCTATAACCCTATTTCCCAATTGGAGGGTATAAACTGTTCTTATTTTGTCCCTAGCTACCTATTTGTGATATCAAAAGATATATCCACTCACAAGATAAAGTGGGGACTGGAACGATAATATAATGGATGGAGTGGCCTTACATGCAGTCGACCAGGGTTTGATTCCCAGCATTCCATATGGTCTCCTGAGCCTGCCAGGAGTACCCTCTGAGTGCAGAGCCCAGAGTACACCCTGAACGCCACCATGTGTGGCCCAAAAATAAATAAATTTTTTAAATTAAAAAAATTAGGTAGGACTCCCTCATTCCAACCTTCATGTTTAACTGAATATTCTGGGTCTTAGACTCCCCTACATCTAGCCATAGGGGTGATGAATCTATGGCATAAGACAGAAGCTGATAAGATCTTAGTCTGCTGACCTGTCCTTCCTCCATCAAGCATTCAGTTCTAAAAGTGAGTGAAGGGACCAGAGAGACAGTACAGTAGGTAGGACACTTGGCTTGCACACAGTTGACCTGGGGCAGAAAGGATGGGAAGGTAGGGGGCGCTGATCCCTGGCACCCTATGTGGTCCCCAGAGCATTACCAGGAATGATCCATGAGCACAGACCCAGGCTTAAAATCTGAGCACTTGTGAGTGTTGCCCCCAAACCAAAAAAATAAAAGCAAGTGAAGGCATCGTCACTCAGAAGCATGTTATTGTCTCCATTTTGAATTCCTGAGACTTTTATCCAGTGAAAAAACAATACTCAAAAGCACAGAGCTCCAATTCTCAAATTAACTCACTTAATTTGTGACAGAATGTAGGGAGGTCCAAACCCAAAGATGCTTCATAAGGAATGGAGTTGTGGCAGAAGATAGTTGGGAGAAGACGAATAGATTCATTGGAGATATAAGTGAACTCTAGGTCTGTTTGTTTGCAAGAAAGAATCAGGGAAAAAATTCTGGAAATGTGTTAGAAACTAACAGAGTTTAACAGCTGGGTGTGGTTAGGGAAATAGGTATCTTAAGTAAACCTTGTCACTTCACCAAATCTACTGTCATTCTAGGATGACTATGCCTTCACACAAGAATGCACCCTATGTAGAACAACTTTAGAGTATTAAAATTGCAGAGAGGAGAGGAAAACAGACTTTATTAAAATAATCGAGTAATCACTAGACAAACAGCAACCATATAAAGTGTCTTATTTCCAATTTAAAAAATTATGAGATATGTAATGAAACAGGAAAACTCTAAGTTCTGCTCTGTGAAAATAAACAAGGAACTGAAACTGCCTTTGAGAGCAGTAAAATATTGGATTAAATAAAGATGACAATTCAGGCAATGTAAATTTGCAAAAATGAAATGAAACCACCTTTTTTTGGCTTAAAGAAGCAAAGAAAGGTATGATGAAAATATCACATCAAAAAAGATAATATTAGTAAAGAGATAGAAATTACCAGAAAAGAAACAAACAGAAATGATGGAGTTTGAAAAATATAACAAATGGCATGAAAATTCCACTAGAAAGTCTCAACAATAGTTGTGAACTGGCAGAAGAATCGGCATACAGATGGCTAATTGGCACAAGAAAAGATGTTTAGCATCCCTCATTATTATAAAAAATGAAAATCACAATGAGCCATTACATTACACCTGTGATAATAGTTATTACTGAAAAAGACAAGAAACAAGTGTTTTCAAGGGTACAGAAAATAAGAAACCTTTATATATGCTGGTGGGAATTTAAATTGGTGCAGCCATTTGAGAAGCAGTATTGAAATTCTTCAAAACAATAATACCAGAAATACCATGAGATCCAGCTAAATCACTGCCAAGCAGTTATCCAAAGAATATGAAAACACTAATGAAAAATATGCATAACCCCCAGGTTCAATACAGAATTACTCCTAATAGCCAGGAATTGGAGACAACTTAAAACATGTCCATTGACAGGTGAATGGCTGAAAAGATTGCAGTGTATGTACACAATGGAATACAACTCAGCGATTTAAAAATTATGATGAAATCCTGCTACTTGCAAAAGTATGTCTGGAACTAGAAGATATTTGCATAGTGAAATAAGTCAAATGTTGAAAAGCAAACATCATATGATTTCAATCCTATGACACAGGTAAAGAAATAAAATTTAAACAAGAATTAAACAGAAACAAACTTTAGACTATGAGAACACTGGTAATCAGAAAGAAGGGTACAGGAGGTGACTCAGTTAAGTCAAAAGGGTCAAATGTATAGTGATGCATGATAGCATTCAGGTGGTGAACATAATGTAGAAACAGATACTAATATATAT